AAAATAGGTAAAACAACTGTTTTGTAATTATATTTAAAGAGAACAAAGGCAATGGTAGTTCAAGTAGGTTTAAACACACTAGCTCGTAAGTGGCCATGTTACGGTGTAGTGGCTTTTATAAACCACACTATGTCCTATAATGGTGTCTTTGGTACACAAAATGACAATGTAAACATTGTCAGCACAACCGTGTGGTTTTCACGCGACACCAACCCTTTGTACAACAAATCGTGCACACTTCAAGTAGTAATATGTGTTAACATACCACTGTCATGTTGGGCGCTGAAAGATTTTCACAACGGTTTGGTTTATGTAAACGAACACAGTAGTGAAACTATGTTCCACCTCAAAAATATTATATTAGGTATTATAAAGTTTCTTTTTAATTTATCCTTTGTGATTACCAATGTAATATACCACTGTATTCTTCCATCCCGACAAATGGAGGCCGTCTTTATTTGGTTTCACAGAATGAGTATAATTTATATGTAAGCCATTTCTTACAGAACATGTATAACCTGTAAATTTGTTAAGCTGTAAGTTATAAGCAGTACTATTTGACTAAATGAATAATTATTAAATTGCGTACAGAAAATAATCCTGATGATAATTGTAAGACTTTTATAACTCTCATATCGGTCTTAAACGTTGAATTTTGACTTATTGGCATAATGTTTTGAAAAATATTGTTCACTACTCTTTCAGATTAATAAAGAAATTACTTTCTAATAAAATTTAACATTTCTATCGTCAAACAAGTAAAAGAAGAGTTATGAAAAACGTCGAGTGGCAGTCAGTGTAGTCCACTCTTTTATATTACTATGGCATATTCCACGTGTTATTAGTAGTAAACTCAAGTCAACTAACTATGAAAATGTTCGTTGTTATTTTTTTCTTAATACGATATTAAAATACTAAAAATACATAAAGGAATGGTTGTGGAATATTTTATTGACATACATCCCATAATTATATTAAAAATGTTCACAAAATATTAATATTGCCTCAATATTTCTATCAACTAAAGAAACTCTGGTTTCCTCACTGACTCAAATATTTGTAACCGTCACATGTCAAAAGTTCCATCCGGGCGACGTTCCTCCAATAGTAAAGTTAGTCGAAGTTGGGCTTTAATTGGTTGACGGACTTTTGGTTCACTTAGTTTTTATAAATACAAAGAAATCTACATCCATATGAAGAAACTCTTTTAGTAAAACATACTAATAATCTATGAGTGTAACTATCAGTGAAACTTTTACTTAACTACAATTCATTTTTTTACCTGACAAAATGTTAAGAACATGATATATGACCATTCCGTGTGTATATAAACTAACCCCATACTAAGTCTACCCCATTGAGAAAATAATTTTTAAAATACCTTTAGGGAAATTAGCTTTATAGCCTGATAAATCCGTAAAACCTATACAAAAATGGTTTATGCAATCTTTATAAAATAGCTTACCGACACATCCATTTTGTTTAGTTTATGATTTAATTGCCTTCATTTAAAAAGGATTTTCATTTAATTTAAAAGGGGTATATGTTTTTACTTGTTTTGGTTTTACAAAGGTTATTCAATTATTAAGACCTAAAACTTCAAAAAACAAACAGTTCCTTAAATATTACAGTTTACTTTGATAAATTACAACAATATCCATCTATGTTGATTATACAGTTTGTTGACAATTGTGCCCTCCGTAGACAAGGTAATGGATTAGGCGGACAGGATCAATAGCGTATGTTGACATTGTGCATGTCAATTTACATACTGATCACTAAACGTACACCAGACCAAACAGTGCCTGAGAGCATGGATAGACTAACAATAAGGAGGTGGTAGGTACACAGTGCAGTGCACCTAGGAGAGGAAATGGAAATATATTAAAGTAATACTGTATGCAAGAATATAAAAAATAATACAAATGTATAGGTTTACAGCTGCTCAACAAACATTTTTAAAGTTACTTTCTCAAGTAGTAATATTAATTTATAAAACAATGTTTTATGAAGTCTAGTATTATATAGAGTGTTGTAGTAATTTTCAAGAATTCCAATTACTAGGTTAGGAATCCGCCTGATAGGCCTGAGGTTGTTCAACTTTAGATTCTAGATGCAAATTTGTGGTTTATATAGCTTAAGAGTATTTAACAAATTATTTAATGGTACATGAAATCGATAAATATGTATATAACTGCCTCTCACTTTATCTGACTACATAGGATATTGTTATTGATGGACCATTTAGGATATATTAGAGTTAAATGCTTTATTCGTACATTTATGATTTTATTTTTTTCATACATTTGACCGTTTGTAATTTAAATTGTAATAAAAAAAAATTATATTGACTATTTATAATAGTTTCCAATTCTTAAAAATAAGTATTACTTTGGATGTAAAGTTCAGACCAATTAATCAATTTTATAAATTTTACAAATTAGGCCAATTAAATTATAAGGTTTCAGCTGCAATGTTCTTAAACATGCAGCCTTGGTTATATAATGTCAGTTGGCAAAATATATATATATCCAAGCATTTACAAATTAGTGCATTAGTTAGATATAAGAATTGTGTTCATACCGACAACTCGGAGAGTGTTTGAGGTGTGTCAGTGTAAAATCAGTGATTCAATAGACTACCAATCAATGGCAGTGATGAAGTGGGTTCGTGTCCTTTTATCCACCAGAAAGTTTTATCAATACAAAGTACAAGGTTACTCTTTGCATGACGCATTCGATCCATTTGCAAGACATAAATGTGAACGGGAAATGCAAGATTTAAAAAACTGCCAACCAAAAAGGTTTCTGTTAAGGCGGGGATAAAAGTAGTAAAGAGTAGTAAGATAACTTATGAATAACTTATGTTTACTCCATGGTAAGATATATATTCCCAATACAAACGAGCTGCAAAAAGAACGTTGTCTTTCAAAAGAGCTGAAAAATGGCTTGTTTGAAAAAAATCTTTGACATACTGGAATAATATTACTCATACCTCACATGATTCGCGATCTATTGGTACTCGATAATCTGTAGGGAGGAATAGCGAAGCTCGGATAATTGAATAGTGAAACTCCATACAGCATTTTAAATAACTAAGTAAACATCCCTGGTTAATAATTCCCAGTTTAAAATCCTAGTTAATAATCGATTGGTGACTGAAAAGCCGGGAAGTAATTTGCTCCTGAGGATGAAACAATGAGGCAGGATCATAAACAAATCCAACGGCAGCGATAAAAGATACCATTAGTGAAAGGAACAAAGGGCGATTTACAGTAAAGTGTTCCAAGACTGAACGTCTTGAAATTCTCTAACAAACTTTATTACTCTTCAGATAAAGGTCCGGAATTTAGCGGAATTTGCAAATACTTTCTTAATAATAAGTTATCTTAGCGCCTCATTATATGTTTCGTCGAATTCATACTAAGGATTCCAATAACTTTTTTTTAAATCTAGGAATGTTATCTTACCTTTTATTACAATTTATCATTACCTTAATTTTACAAAGTAAATCTATATGCTTCCACTGTTTTATCTGCATTTTGAAACTATGTTCTCTTTTTTTATCAAGGAATCATAATGTCGTAATATTAGAGAATTAGTTTTCAAAATATTTTAGAAAAAAACTACCAATTTATTCAAAAATTACCCACCCTCCCCCGACCCGGAGCTAACCATTTACCGAACGTTATGGGGACTGTGCTACACAATTTATGGTCAACAATCAGCCTTCAATTAGGTTAACAATTGCTGTTATTGTCCACACTAATTGAGCATTACAAATTAATTATGATAGGAAATATAAGAAGTCCTCGACAGAACTTAATAGTGGCTTAATAATATTTTAATTTATTATTATAATAATTTAATTGTTATTGCTGTATGAGATGAGTGTTGTGTGACACTCCATCGTAACCAAACTGATTAAATTAAGTTTTAACCAATCTTTTGGGCTTTACTTTCCATTCACCTATAAGAATTAACCGAATATCTAATTAATGTTTTTGAAAACCAAATAAAATATTGAGCTGAAGATTTTGAAGTTGACTTAAATTTCTAAACATTATAAAACCTTTTGGCAGTGCTTAACAATGCAAAGGATTTCAAACACCAGTATGTAACGAGGGTGATGATCTTTGTCGCAGACGCAACTTTACAATATTTGGTTCTTGTAGTAGTAAAATATGAATACTATGTCGCATGAAACAGCTCAAACCTCTAGTTTAGATATTTTATCACTGTAACACTATCTTTGAACATTGAAAATACGTAAAAATCTCACAATGAAATCATCCGTAGGCTCTCTACTAATGCCTGTATGAAGACACAGAGATACAATCGAATCTACTGAAGTTAGAAGGGTACATCAGAGAAACGACGGAGGTACAAACGCAAATGTTCCCTTTATGTCCCATTGTAATTAAGGGAAGGTTAGAGAGGTGAAGTGTGCATTAATTAGTACACTCCTTGCTTTTAACTCTACACAATGCTCGATTCTTTTCTTTTTCCAGGATAATAACTGTGTGCATTTGATGTTTAACATAATGTTGAAGTACTTGACAATTTACCATATTTATTCTTATACAACGTATGAATTACAATATGTTGCATATCAGGTAAAAAAATACGTAATTTAAAGATTAGAATTAAATATAGGTTTTAATTACAGCAATGGCTAAAATATACAATTTATTGTATAGAAAATAGCAGTATAGATCAGCTATAGTTTTACTTATAAAAATGTGTGTACAATTTTTGACAAACTAGTATACGTTTAGGTTACATAAGTTTTGCTTTCCATAGAGATCAAGTAATTTTCTTTCGATAAATAATCTCTTAAAACCCACTTAATCTACAGAGGATCAAAAAAGCAGCAGATAATTATACAATCGAAGGCTAAGTATAATATCCCTCTTATAGAATAAAAAAGTACGGCAACATTGCCTTTAATTGCCATTGTTAATTTACGAACCATAGCATTTAATGCAGTATTCAACTTACCTTTGGTTTGTATGTAATTCCCACTTAGAGTGAGTTAATGTCATCCGAGGCCCTTCTTAGGACGACCTTAAGAACTACGCCGTGTCACCTCTCCTGAAAAAGGAAAAAATAAGGACTACTTATTTTTCTACTTACTTTTGTAAAAGTAATTAAATAGTCATTGGCTTAAAACAATAATAAAAACACGTTTAACTTTCCTTTTTAAGGCAATGAATTATATTGATTAGACAATGGTCCTAGGATTCGAGGCGATTTCAGGTTTTACATTAAGGGAATTCAAGAATCTTTGTCCCCACCTGATTAAAACTCATGAACTGTATGTTATCTCTCCAACCACTCTGCATTCCATATTATTATTATAATTTACACTAAATTATTCATTATTGAGATGGTTAGTAACACAGTAAATGTTTTTTTTTAGAAAAACGTGTGGGTTATACATTGTTATCTAGATTGTCCATGGAATTGTCAGGTACATTACCAATTTTCTACTCGATTTTTAAATAAGTATAAACATAAGCATGTCTTTTAACTACTGTGAGCCCTTATAGATTTCCGAAAGATAAAGGAGTATACAAGGTTTGACAACTATAAAATGTTAAATGTCCTATTTTTTATATTATTGAATGGTAATAGGAAATCAAAAAAAAACATTCTCTCTTATTTATATTTTTTGCTTTTTATTTGTCTACTTCTTTAATGAGTTGCCTACTTAGCAGGAAATATACCTTGAAAATGTAATATTTTTTAAACAGTGATGTATAACTATAGCAATTCACATTTTTCATTCTAAATTCACTAACTCTTATACCATATAAAACTCGTCAGATAAAATATAAAAACGTGGAACATTATAAATTGAACTCTACCGTTTCCGAAAGAAGGCAAATTAAATTTAAGGTAGAAAGAAATAAAAGAGTTGATGTTTGTAACGCAAGCACGTTCTCTTACGGCTGAAATGCTCACATTTGTCATTCCGTTATTATTCCGCTGATTGGGATTTAATACCGTGGAAACTGGTTTCCGTGCGGTGTTTTCTAATAACCCTTTGTCTCTCGGGTAGTTGGATTCACTTTTCTTTTTGCTATTGATAAAATTCAGGTAGCTTCACTAGAGCTTACATATGTTGTTTAATCCCTAGCTCTAGTAATGGTATCTGCAATATTCCATAATATCACACTATGTTATTTTTTAAGTAATTAAGGTCAAGCTTAAACTGTGATGGGTATTTGATTATTAAGTAGTGCGGTTGTAAAATGGTTAGGCTTATGCTTTCGTCTTAATTTTATGTGTGTGTTTTTACGCCAATGACATTTATCCCTCTTCGTAAGGCAATTAATTGTCCATGCTACCTTTACTTTCTAACATTGAATTTTTGTTAGATTGTATTATTAATTAAGGGCCTAATAAAAGAATCCCCTTTCTCTATGTCAACGTGGTATAGAATTGATCCCACTCGGGATTGAACGTACAGCCTTGAGATTTGAAGATGAGCTGTGTTCACTGGAATACTCAGTCAAGAAACTACCTCTGTTTAAAAGGTTACGAATTCGGTCAGTAAAACTTAAAGACTGTAAATGGTATATGAAACCAATACGTTTTTGTATGTTTCATCGTTCTATTGATCTTCGTTGTGTCTCAAATAAACTATGATTTGCCACAGTATTATATTATATTGGTCTATAGTTGTTTACACCTTAACCATATGTATTATTTATGTAGAATATATCATCAGAGATTCGGGAAACTAAATAAAATCCAATAGGTATTAAATTAATTATTTTGATTTACGAATATCAAGGCAGTTTATCAAACTTAACTTGGACCCAAGCTCGATAACACAAGAAGAGGAAAAAATATTCCCCCCTTAAAGAGGGATAAGTGATATAATACTTTCAACAATGTCTTTTATCAGAGAAATGCTAGCCTTATGAAATCTGTAGGAATAGATAGTACTAAGAGGGACGTAAAACGCAGATAAATTCTGTTGAAAGCTCATGGAAACCCTTATACTTGTTTGATGGTAAAGGAAACCATCTGCCTGTGAGTTATGCGGCTCTGCCATCTGACTGGACAATGGGACTCTAAATTTACGGCGAGAATTTATTTCAATTGGCGAGGAACGTGGTGGTATTTCCTAAATTTATAACCATAGAACTTCTAAAGTTATTTGGTCAGTAGTTATATGAAACAAAGTATCGTATGGAGGTAATGTTTTATAATAAATTTGTTACCATTGTGATTCTTATTACGAGGTCACAAGGTCAATGTCAAACCATTTAATAGTTGATTTATTCAAGGAATATAAAACATCTCAAATAAAATGGCTAATATAGGACCAACTTAATCTTATATACAACAAAAAAGTAGAACGCTAATAAATTGATACCTACCTAGTATATAATTTCTTAATCTTATAAAAGAGTAGCTATAAGATTAAGCTACTACAAAATTACCACGATATTTCCTATGGAATAAAGTGGTAGCAAGAATTAGATCGCAGTTTCAGCGAATATCCTGTGTCTTAATTTAGTAAAGTAAAGCATTTTTGGTAAAAGCTTAATGGTTACGAAGGAAATGCCGAGAATCTGGGAATTGAAAATCGAAATGTTATTCATATGGAGAATGAGTAGACTTTTGTAATTTTAATGTTTATATGTTAGTACACTTGATTTATATCATTATAAGCTTTTGCTATGGAAAAATCTAACTCTTATGTAGCGGATAACCTAAGAACTCGTTAAGCCTAATGTTATTTAAATAAAGAATAGATCTGACACGTTTAACGAAATATTTGAGAGGAAATCAATTTTGTCTGCAGTTTTGCTGTAGGAGGTGTACTGAAGTTGTACGTTTTTTGTGTGCCCATAGCTTACTTACTTACTTACGTTGAAACTGATTACACTTTAAACGTGTTATCGTTCTAATAGGAATTGTATGTATACAGGGTGACCGTTAAGTCTTAGGACGACTTTATAACTTTTGAACGACAAACGATATCACAACCACATTTGGTATACCGTTACTGGAAATTGTAAGCTACTTTTCTGTGTACATGGTGGTCGGATATCACCTTTGGGGGACGGCCCGTCGGGGGTCAGAAGAAAATCTTTAATGACAGCCTATGTTGATTTGTACATCATTTTAAAGGTCTACTTTAACTAAAAACAATGCCGCAAACCGCACTTCAAAAGGTTGATCCTGCGCAAAATGGCAGATGTTCAAAGATTTTCAAAATTAGCCAATTTCTTTAAATTAAAACACTTTTTTTTAAATCTTTAAACAACTGTCATTTTTTAACGAATGGTTCTTTTGAAGTGCGGTTTGCGGCATTCTTCTTTGCTTAAAATTCCCTTTAAAATGATCCCCATAACTTCACATACAGTGATCCAAATACCTCTTCAGGGTGACGGCCCACAAGGAGTCGGAAGTAAATCTTGAATTGAAGCATAGGTTGATATGCACATCAAATTAAAGGTATTTATTAGTAAAATACAATGACGCAAACCGTACTTCAAAAGGACCATCCGTTAAAAAATGACAGTTGTTTAAAGATTTTAAAAAGTGTTTTAATTTAAAGAAATTGGCTAATTTTGAAAATCTTTGAACATCTGTTATTTTGCGCAGGATCAACCTTTTGAAGTGCGGTTTGCGGCACTGTTTTTAGTTGAAGTAGACCTTTAAAATGATGTACAAATCAACATAGGCTGTCATTAAAGATTTTCTTCTGACCTTAGACGGGCCGTCCCCCAAAGGTGATATCCGATTACCATGTACACAGAAAAGTAGCTTACAATTTCCAGTAACGGTATACCAAATGTGGTTGTGATATCATTTGTCGTTTAAAAGTTATAAAGTCGTCCTAAGACTTAACGGTCACCCTGTATGTAATGCGTTTTGATTACTAATAAATACTAATAGTCTTCAGCATAAAGAATTAAAATTAAATAATAATTATTCATCTAAACTAAACATAAGCAACTGAGGGAAAATGTTAAAACTAAACTCAACAAAAACAAATTTTAACAATCAGGAATAAAGAAAGTTATATTGATTCTTTAAAGAATATTGTATAATTACAAGTGGTAAAGAAGGCATTTTCGACTAAGCAGTATTAAAATGTAGCATTCATTCGTAAATCGTTTATTTTACCAGAGAGATATGTGAGTATGTGTGTATTTGACTGTCAGATAATATATGACCAATAAGCTTGATTGATGTTTGGTAAACTCCCAATATGAAGCATATGTGTGTTTTGTTTGGTCCTAGATTTATTGAGTTTGGTTTATAAACTGAAAAGTTAATTACGCAACCATATATTTAGTTACGAAATCGAATGGACCATTACATTTTCCAAGCAGTATTATTGTATTTTATACTTGTATTAAATACTGTTTACGTGTATTTAATACAAGTAAATTTCTTACGTATGAAAAACTGAACCTTACATTTTAATGCCATATTTCTAAGTTTTGAATGTGATGTCAAGCACATTTCTGTCTCATTAAAGAAAAAACTAATCATTGTGGATTTATCTAGTGACAATTGAAGAAAAGCAGTGAATACTTTGTAACGTAATTATTTTAAATTGTGTAAAATATTATGTAACAAACGTATACATTCCTGCACTCCAGTGATACCGTTAAATTATGCTCGATGTCCACTTTCAGCCTATCGTATGGATGATAAATCTATAAGGGATTGTTATTAATCTGGTACAGTTACTAAAATATAAAACATTTGCAATAATCATATTAACCAAACAGGAAAATTTCTTACGTATGAAAAACTGAACCTTATTTTAATGCCATCTTTCTAAATTTTGAGTGTGATTCGTAGTAGACACTGATGATGACTGGAAATCTGTGGGCTAAGCCAATACATTTTATTTATCACGAGTTTCGATTTATTGGAAGAAAATGAAACAGTTCGAATTACAAACAGCTCATTTTCGTTAGAATTGGACATAGTTATCGAAGTAACTCAAATCCCGTTGCTCAATGTAACGTATTGTAGGACAATCCCCCTAAGCAGTATCTAGGATTAAATCAACCATAATAGTCGTAATATAAAACTATAAAGTTAGCCTGCTT